TGTTTGCTTACGTGTCTTTCTAAACCAACTTGTCGGTATTTATTACCAAGGTTTATACCACATCACTCAGTGTATATACACTGAGAGATACACACCACTCAGTGTATATACACTGAGAGATACACACCACTCAGTGTATATACACTGAGAGATACACACCACTCAGTGTATATACACTGAGAGATACACACCACTCAGTGTATATACACTGAGAGATACACACCACTCAGTGTATATACACTGAGAGATACACACCACTCAGTGTATATACACTGAGAGATACACACCACTCAGTGTATATACACTGAGAGATACACACCACTCAGTGTATATACACTGAGAGATACACATCATAAGCACCAGGTAGGGAAAAACCTTCAAGCATCTTATGAACTGTTTATATATGACTAATGTATATTTCTTGACGTGAGTTTGGCTGGTGAATGAGAGTTTGAACACTATCGACTACACGAGGGTCATTAACCCTGCAGGTAGCACCTTCACCACCTGTCAACAAAACTTTAAGCTTTATTTTAGAAATCTATAGATAGATAACATGGACCTGGCCGAGGGGGCGTTGATCCCTGAAACATGGACCTGGCCGAGGGGGCGTTGATCCCTGAAACATGGACCTGGCCGAGGGGGCGTTGATCCCTGAAACATGGACCTGGCCGAGGGGGCGTTGATCCCTGAAACATGGACCTGGCCGAGGGGGCGTTGATCCCTGAAACATGGACCTGGCCGAGGGGGCGTTGATCCCTGAAACATGGACCTGGCCGAGGGGGCGTTGATCCCTGAAACATGGACCTGGCCGAGGGGCGTTGATCCCTGAAACATGGACCTGGCCGAGGGGGCGTTGATCCCTGAAACATGGACCTGGCCGAGGGGGCGTTGATCCCTGAAACATGGACCTGGCCGAGGGGGCGTTGATCCCTGAAACATGGACCTGGCCGAGGGGGCGTTGATCCCTGAAACATGGACCTGGCCGAGGGGGCATTGATCCCTGAAACATGGACCTGGCCGAGGGGGCGTTGATCCCTGAAACATGGACCTGGCCGAGGGGGCGTTGATCCCTGAAACATGGACCTGGCCGAGGGGGCGTTGATCCCTGAAACATGGACCTGGCCGAGGGGGCGTTGATCCCTGAAACATGGACCTGGCCGAGGGGGCGTTGATCCCTGAAACATGGACCTGGCCGAGGGGGCGTTGATCCCTGAAACATCCTCCAGGTATATTCTAGGTATATGATTATTATTATTATTATTATTATTATTACTGTTATTTACTATTATTACTATTGTTATTTACTTTTATTATTAAAGATTCGCCGGTAGTCTCCCGGCCCGGGCCTTTTCCAAGTGGTGGCCCGGCCTTGGCTCCCTCTCTAGGGAGTGTCTGGGACCTAAGTCTCTCATGGGAGGAGGTACAAGTACCCCCTCATCTTTGGGACCAACTGTCCCCAGGCCTAGCCACATTCCCCGCCCTCACGGGGCTCGTAGGGAGAAGCTAGGCCTCCCTGGTCTGCCATCCCCGCCACAAGGGAGCTAATGGTAATGACAGTCTTGTGAGCTGCAAGCTCTGGCTCAGGCACCTACCCTGCCCTAGAAGGGCTGGGCATGGTGTCGATGAATTATTATTATTATTATTATTATTATTATTATTATTATTATTATTATTATTATTATTATTATTATTTACTATTATTATTATTATTATTTACTATTATCGTTATTATTGTTATTATTATATTTACGAAATATCTACATTTTTCCTTCCTGCAATTTTTTGTTATATTGAAATTTGCAAAAGTTACAAACAAGGGAATGAGAGGTGAATAAGTTTGACCCGAGGAAGAAGAGGTTGGTTCCAGTTCCTCGCATCAAGAGCTCCTCAAAAACATTAACGCCTTCCCCTTGAAGGGAGCAATTCATGTAACCCGAAACTTCGAGCACACAAAAAACTGCCGCCATTCACCGGTATTGATGTTGCAACACAGAAAACGGAGGCGTCTGAAACTTGTGTGAGAGAAAACCAGATTCTATTTCAGGGGTAACATTTATTTCAGCGAGTGTTCCATGTATTTTGTCGCAGCTATGAATAGCGGGAGTTTCGTTATTCATGCGTGATGTTGTAACGCTGAATTCGCCTTGTCATCTGTTACCAATATACCTGCATATTTTTTTTTTGCTTCGAATTCACTATTGCAAGAATAATTAGTTTTCATATATAGATAACACATTCAACGAAAAAAAAAATATTGACAAAGTATTTTGTTTTCAATTTAAGTTCCAGTGCTCGTATTTAGGTGACCTTGTGGGTGCTACGGTAAGTCACGTTAGGGACCACTGGAACTGGAAAGCTACTGCATGGGTAACCATCTACAAGCATTAGTGCTTCAGCGATTGTTGCAGAATCAGTGTTCCGTAGCTCGATCACTAGCGCACGCAGCTCACACACTGAGGTACGGAGATTGAATCCCCGGTACGGCTGGAAAACATTAAGACGTGTTTCCTTAAGACACCTGTTGTTCATGTTCACCCATCAGTATTAAATGGGTACCTGGGTGTTAGTCGACTGGTGTGGGTCGCATCCTGGGACAAAATTGATCTAATTTGCCCGAAATGTTCACCATAATGAGCGGCTTTCTATAAAGTAGAATGTCAGTGATGTCAGCTAGGCCTGTATACCTTGTACATGTCTTTGTAGAAAGAAAATATTATTATTGTATTATTAAGTTACCTATGAACACACACACACACACACACACAGTGGAGACCAGGAGCTGTGACTTAACCCCTGCAACCACAAATAGGTGAGTACACACACACACAAACACACACTAACTCTGCATACTATACATGTCAGTGATATTGGTCTGTAGTTTAATGCTGCATGTCTGTCTCCTTTCTTGAAAACTGGAACTACATTTGCTGTCTTCCACAACTCAGGTAGTGTGTGTGTGTACTCACCTATTTGTACTCACCTATTTGTGGTTGCAGGGGTCGAGTCCTAGCTCCTGGCCCCGCCTCTTCACCGGTTGCTACTAGACCCTCTCTCTCCCCGCTCCATGAGCTTTATCAAACCTCGTCTTAAAACTGTGTATGGTTCCTGCCTCCACTACGTCATTTTCTAGGCTATTCCACTGCCTTACAACTCTATGACTGAAGAAATACTTCCTACTATCTCTCTGACTCATTTGTGTCTTCAACTTCCAATTGTGGCCTCTTGTTTCTGTGTCCCCTCCCTGGAACATCCTGTCCTTGTCCACCTTGTCTATTCCACGCAGTATTTTATATGTCGTTATCATGTCTCCCCTGACCCTCCTGTCCTCCAGTGTCGTCAGGCCGATTTCCCTTAATCTTTCTTCATAGGACATTCCCCTTAGCTCTGGAACTAACCTTGTTGCAAACCTTTGTACTTTCTCTAGTTTCTTGACGTGCTTTATCAAGTGCGGGTTCCAAACAGGTGCTGCATACTCCAGTATGGGCCTGACATACACGGTGTACAGTGTCTTGAATGATTCCTTACTAAGGTGTCGGAATGCTGTTCTCAGGTTTGCCAGGCGCCCATATGCTGCAGCAGTTATCTGATTGATGTGTGCTTCCGGAGACATGCTCGGTGTTATACTCACCCCAAGATCTTTCTCCTTGAGTGAGGTTTGCAGTCTTTGGCCACCTAGCCTATACTCTGTCTGTGGTCTTCTGTGCCCTGTGTGTGTGTGTGTGTGTGTGTATTCACCTACTTGTGGTTGCAGTGGTCAGTTCATAGCTCCTGGTCCCGCCTCTTTACTAATCACTACTAGGTCTTCTCTTTCCCTGCTCCATAACCTTTCTTTATCAAACCTCGTCTCAAAACTGTGTATGGTTCCTGCCTCCATTACATCACTTTCCAGACTGTTCCACTTCCTGACAACTTCATGATTGAAGAAATACTTCAGTCATAAAGTTTGCAGACGATATGAAGCTAATGAGGAGAATTCAATCGGATGAGAATCAGGCAGGACTACAAACGGATATAGGCAATCTGCAAGCTTGGTCCAGCATCTGGCTCGAGTTTAACCCCACCAAGTGCAACGTCACGAAAATCAGGGAAGGGCAAAGAAGACCAGAGACAGAGTACAGGCTAGGGGAACCAAAGACTGCAAACCTCACTTAAGGAAAATGATGTTGGGGTGAGCACATCTCCTGAGACGCATATTAACCAAATAACTGCTGCAGCATATGGGCGCTTGTCAAACCTAAGAATAGCGTTTCGACACCTCAGTAAGGAATCGTTTAAGACTCTGTACACCATGTACACCAGGTCTATATTGGAGTATGCAATACCAGTCTGGAACCCACACCTGGTAAAGCACGTCAAGAAATTAGAGAAAGTACATAGGTTTGCAACAAGACTAGTCCGGGAGCTGCGGGGTATGCCCTACGAGGAAAGGTTATGGGAAATCTGCCTGCTGACACTGGAGGACAGGAAGGATAAGGGCGACATAACATATAAAATAGTGAGAGGAACTGACAAGGTGGATAGGGACAGGATGTGTCAGCAACAAAGGGTCACAGTTGGAAATTAAAGACTCAGATGAGTCACAGGGATGTTACGAAGTATTTCTTCAGCTATAGAGTTGTCAGGAAGTGGAACAGTCTGGAGAGTGATGTAGTGGAGGCAGGATCTATACATAGCTTTAAGAACAGGTATGATAAAGCTCATGGAGTAGGGAGAGAGTGGACCTAGTAGCGACTAGTAAAGAGGCGAGGCCAGGAGCTATGAATCGACCCCTGCAACCACAATTAGGTCAAGTAGGTGAGTACACACACATTCACGAATACACAAACAAACACACACATACACGAATACACAAACAAGCACACACACACACACACACACACACACACACACACACACACACACACACACACACACACACACACACACAATGGTAGCCTACTCATCAGGGAAACGTGTGCTAGGAGGGTGAGGGGGGACACTAGGATATGCCTACTCACCAGGAAGGTAAAGTGCTGGACTGTACTGTCTGCTAAGCTTCCTGTGTTCTGTCTGCTCTCCACGACCGCCCCTGCAACACAACACAATATATTTTATTCTCTGCTCGGACAGGACTAAATCAGGCGCTGTATGGTTCCTAAGGTGTAGTGCATATCACATGAATAATGATGATAATCGTAATATTAATTATTATTATTATTATTATTATTATTATTATTATTATTATTATTATTATTATTATTATTATTTATTAATCACTATAGTAGTAATAATAAGAATTAGAATAGCTATAATAATATGTCAGGGCAACATTAAAGTCATTATTCATTTAGAGAAAATTATTAAATTATATCTAGCAGTTTTCTTATTTTTGACTCATCATCAGGTACTCGTCACTGTCCATTATTTAGAGAACACAACAAGGCAAATGTCACGAAGGTCAGATAAATGACAGGGGGTATAATTGGCACTTTCAAAACAAGAGACATAACGTGGCGCTATTCCAATCACTTGTGCTCCCATGTCTAGAATATTTTTTTGTGTTGACGACTCCGTTCATGGCAGGAGAGATGTCAGAAATAAACTAAAACAAAACTAATACTGAATTTAAACTATTGGGAATGCCTCAAAGCACTTGGAATGTGCTCTTTGGAGCGAATGAAAGAGATGCCTGGCAATATGCACATGGAAGATATTTTAGGTCCTGGTCCCAGACCTACATACTACAATTTCAAAGTGAAAAATAATTGCAGTGAAAAGTAAGGAAGAAAGGGACATAATAATGGAACACTGTATCAAAATCAGTAGCTCAAGGCTTTTCGGCCTCTGCTACTATCAGATATCGCAAATATCTTAAGAACAATTGCAAAAGTCTTCAAGCAGGAACGACCATTACGGGTTTAGCGATTGGTTATCATTATAATAATAGTTCAAGCAAAAACACTAGATCACTACCTCCGCAAAGTGTTTGATAAGTCAGGAGGTGATGTTTGTGTGAGCCAGTGAGCAACTAACGACAACAGCGTAACTGAACAGGCAATCATGAAGAAAATCTAGCCCCAGGCTGGCCTGAGAGGGTAGAAGAACCCTCGAAGCAGGTCACAGACGTGTCACAGATAATGCACAAAACCGAACACAATATTCCCATCTTAAGCCATCCTACTGTCGTACGTCATCCAGGTAAAGTGATCAGCCAAGTTCGTTAGAAAATACACGTGATCTCAGCCCGTCATACGTACAAATAATGCGTGTCTCCCACTACATCACTGTTATCAAGCGGCTGATCACTGCAGTGCGTGATCAACCGCTTGTTATTCTATAAGAAGATATAAATATGCTTTGAAAGAAAATACTGGGATGAGATACGTAAAATATTTGACACTTGGAAAGTGGACAAGATTTCGCCAAATATTTGTTAAAAATTGAAATTCACAAATGTTTTTGAAAATTCCAAAAAAAGCTGAAAAATATTGCGAAATGTCAAGGTTTTTGTATCACGGAAAATATAAATATTTTGATCAGTTATCCCTTAAATGCAGTTTATAGAACAAGGAGGAAGAGGCAACACTCATATACAGGCAACACTCATATGCAGGCAACACTCATATACAGGCAACACTCATATACAGGCAACACTCATATACAGGCAACACTCATATACAGGCAACACTCATATGCAGGCAACACTCATGTAAGAACATAAGAAAGAAGGAACACTGCAACAGGCCTACTGACCCATGCGGAGCAGGTTCATCTCCCCCCCGGATTAGACCAATGACCCATCCCCCCGGATTAGACCAATGATCCATCCCCCCGGATTAGACCAATGACCCATCCCCCCGGATTAGCCCAATGACCCACCCACTCTGATCATCTCCACTCAAGGATGGAGCACTGCACCAGACCCAGCAGCACAAGCTAGTCAGGTCCAACTCACACCCACCTACACTCACTCATGTATTTATCTAACCTATTTTTAAAACTACACAACGTTTTAGCCTGAATAACTGTACTCGGGAGTTTGTTCCACTCATCCACAACTCTATTACCAAACCAGTGCTTTCCTATATTCTTTCTGAATCTGAATTTTTCCAACTTGAAACCATTGCTGCGAGTCCTGTCTTGGCTGGAAATTTTCAGCACGCTATTTACATCCACTTTATTTATTCCTGTTTTCCATTTATACACCTCGATCATATCCCCCCTAATTCTACGCCTTTCGAGAGAGTGCAGATTCAGGGCCCTCAGTCTATCCTCATAGGGAAGATTTCTGATACATGGGATCATCTTTGTCATCCTCCTCTGTACGTTTTCCAGAGCATTTATATCCATTCTGTTATACGGTGACCAGAAATGAGCAGCATAGTCTAAATGAGGCCTAACCAAGGATATATAGAGTTGAAGAACAACCTGAGGACTTCTATTATTTATACTTCTAGATATGAAGCCAAGAATTCTGTTAGCTTTATTGCGAACACTAATGCACTGTTGTCTTGGTTTTAAATTACTGCTAACCATTGCATCAGTCTATTCAAATCATCCTGGAATGCTCTAGTGTCCTCATTAGAATGAATTGGACAGCCTATTTTGGTGTCATCAGCAAATTTGCTTATGACGCTATTTATTCCCTCATCTATGTCGTTTATGTAAATTGTGAACAACAACGGGCCCAACACTGACTCCTGAGGAACACCGCTTGTGACGTGGCCCCATTCTGATATCTCCTCATTTATGCAAACTCTCTGCTGTCTATTTGTCAGCCATGCCTCTACCCAGGAAAAAATTTCTCCTCCTATTCCGAGTGCCATAAGTTTCCTCAATAGCCTCTGGTGTGGAACTCTATCGAAAGCCTTACTGAAGTCCATATACACAATATCATATTCAATACCATGATCTACCTCCTCAAACACCTTAGTGAAAAAAGTTAGTAAATTCGTAAGACAGGAACGCCCCTTTGTAAAACCGTGTTGAGAATCATTAACAAATCTGTGCCTGTCAAGATGGCTACGAATTGCTTCGGCAATTATTAATTCCATAAATTTTCCCACTATGGAGGTAAGGCTTATTGGTCTATAGTTCGAAGCCAAGGACCTGTCACCTGCCTTGTAAATAGGTATTACATTTGCCATTTTCCACTAATCAGGCACTATGCCAGTTTGTAGTGATATGTTAAAAAGATTAGCCAAAGGTATACTAAGTTCCTCTTTACATACTCATATAGAGGCAACACTCATATACAGGCAACACTCATATACAGGCAACACTCATATACAGGCAACACTCATATACAGGCAACACTCATATACAGATAACACTCTTATACAGGCAACACTCATATACAGGCAACACTAATATACAGGCAACACTCATATACAGGCAACACTCATATACAGGCAACACTCATATACAGGCAACAACACTCATATACAGGCAACACTCATATACAGGCAACACTCATACACAGGCAACACTCATATACAGGCAACACTTATATACAGGCGACACTCATATACAGGCAACACTCATATACAGACAACACTCTTATACAGGCAACACTCATATACAGGCAACACTCATATACAGGCAACACTCATATACAGGCAACATTCATATACAGGCAACGCTCATATACAGGCAACACTTAAATACATGAAACACTTATATACAAAAACATATTTCCTTCAAGCATGGCTTCCAAAGAGTAAAGTCAGATGTAAATCATCCACTTTCAAATATTTCTGACACTAATAAGGAAAGCATAGTTTTTCTGACGGTCTTAACGAAGTTATCCATAAAATGTTAACATCAAGCGTAAGCGCTACGGCCGTAGGGGTTATAAGCGCCTGAGAGAATGGGAAATAATCAGGTTTGATTCCCTGCACAGGTTATATATATATATATATATATATATATATATATATATATATATATATATATATATATATATATATATATATATATATATATACATTTATATATTTTATATATATATATATATATATATATTATATATATATATATATATATATATAATATACATATATATATATATATATATATATATATAATATATATATATATATATATATATATATATATATATAAACAATAAGAGGTAGTAGGTTGGTAGACAGCAACCACCCAGGGAAGTACTACCGTCCTGCCAGATGACTGTGAAACAGAAACCTGTAACTGTTTTGCATAATGGTAGGATTGCTGGTGTCTTTTTCTGTCTCATAAACACGCTAGATAACAGGGATATCTTGCTACTCCAACTTACACTTTGGTCACACTTCACAGACACGCACATGCATATATATATACATACATCTAGGTTTTTCTCCTTTTTCTAAATAGCTCTTGTTCTTCTTTATTTCTTCTATTGTCCATGGGGAAGTGGAAAAGAATCTTTCCTCCGTAAGCCATGCGTGTCGTATGAGGCGACTAAAATGCCAGGAGCAATGGGCTAGTAACCCCTTCTCCTGTAGACATTTACTATAAAAGAGAAGAAGAAAAACTCTATAAAACTGGGATGCTTGAATGTGCGTGGATGTAGTGCAGATGACAAGAAACAGATGATTGCTGATGTTATGAATGAAAAGAAGTTGGATGTCCTGGCCCTAAGCGAAACAAAGCTGAAGGGGGTAGGGGAGTTTCGGTGGGGGGAAATAAATGGGATTAAATCTGGAGTATCTGAGAGAGTTAGAGCAAAGGAAGGGGTAGCAGTAATGTTGAATGATCAGTTATGGAAAGAGAAAAGAATATGAATCTGTAAATGCAAGAATTATGTGGATTAAAGTAAAGGTTGGATGCGAGAAGTGGGTCATAATAAGCGTGTATGCACCTGGAGAAGAGAGGAATGCAGAGGAGAGAGAGAGATTTTGGGAGATGTTAAGTGAATGTATAGGAGCCTTTGAACCAAGTGAGAGAGGGTGTGGTAGGTAAGTTTGGGGTGCCAGGTGTAAATGATAATGGGAGCCCTTTGATTGAACTTTGTATAGAAAGGGGTTTAGTTATAAGCAATACATATTTTAAGAAAAAGAGGATAAATAAGTATACAAGATATGATGT